TAAAAAACATAATAAATTTATACTAGTTTACCCACCGTTCTTTAAGTATAACAAGTGTTGAAACAATTGATTATGAAAGGAGATTAAATAAAGTCATGGGTTGAAATTTCATCTTCACTTACTTTTCTTTATAAAGGATCTTCAATACAAACATTGCTTCAATATTTTCTTGTTTTGATTCTTCTTTTAAGATATGATCAATATCTTGAGTTGTGCTTTGTATGGTTGACTTAAAGGTTTTGACAAATGAGAGCTTGGATTTTCTTGATGCTCTATCTTTCTTGAAAAAGGAAACAATTCAACAAAGAGAACTAAATTTTCCATAGTACATTTTTTTTTATTTTATTTCCTATATTTCATATGAACGTTTATAACATCTGTTGTTTCTATAAAATCATTTTGACTGACCAAAACGTATAATATGTACTTATGACTCTGATTTCATTTTATCTATAGCTTGTGTTATGCATATCATTTATAAGATTTGTAAGTTCCTTTGATAAGTCCAATGCATTACAGTTAATGTATATTTTCTAGCATGTCAATGACTCTCCATTTACTTTACTTATTATATTGTATATTACACTTGTCATATATCTTATATCCTTCACATTTTTTACTTTGAGAAGAAGTTACTTAGATTGTTTTTAATCAATTGTCATTAAAGATTCGACATCCTATTTCAAAAATTGGTGATAGTGGAATTCACCCCTCTTGAATTTATCCTATATTTCTAAGAAAAAAATTCCTTATTGTGTTTACTATCAGAAGAAGAATATTCGAAAAGTGATTGTTTTCAAAGACGTAAAACATATGAGGGTTTCACAAAAAGAAAAGCAAACAAGTAATCTACTCACCATTATAAACTCTTTAGTATTAAATCAAGTGATGTAACACACTATTTTTTGGAATGTTATATATATAGAAACTTTTCTGAATTATTAAAAGTATTGTAATTGTTTCTTTGTCTTGAAATTTTTAATTCTATATTTTTATTGTAAATTTAAGACTTTTTGAATGACTAAGACAAAAAATAATAAAAATATTAATTTAAATATGAAAGACGTAATAATAATTATTAAGGCACAGTGTGTAAAGAAGTGAAAAATTAAAATATAAATCTCCTGGAATTTCTAGATTACTAATTTAAAAATGAAGAAAGTCATAAAAACGTTGATGAATGTATTTTTATTCACATTCAAATCATCTTTTTGCTTTCTTGAATTGTAAAATTCAGTTTAAATCCATTGTTTTAATTGGAATTTTTTCAAATAGGACTAGGTGAGGTTTAGCCATTCATAAAAATCAATTCTTAAGGCATCAATAGATGCTAGATGTTATAGGTAGATGACCTTGTTTGATGATTTGGATAAACGAGTGCAATTAAAGAGTCTATTTTGTTGAATCTTACCAAACGATCTAATAAATCATCATTAAACTAAGTTTTGGTGATAAACAAAAATTGTTACTAACAATTGTCTTTTATATGCAAGATTTGTGATGATTTGCAACACCAAAATACATTGTTTATAGTACTAAATATTCTACAAATAGAATCTTTTTTCATGTCTTGAATCTCTCAAAGAAAATATGTAAAAGTGGATCATTTATTGAAAGTTTTGAAGTTTTGCAACTGAATGACCTTGAATCACCAATGTGAAGCTTCTTAGATTGTGGATTTGAGAAGCTTAGTCCATCCAACATTGCCATAAAAGACAAGCAATGACCACCATCACAACATTTACCATTTATTTTATATTATGCCTCGTGTTGTCTTTCACATGCAAGGTAAAACCTTCTAATTTGATTCTCATGTAATTTCCTAGTTAGTTATGAGGTTATGTATAATTAAAGTGTTATTCTTTAATTTCTTCAAAATATAGTTTATTTTATCTACTCTTTAATTTCTTCAAAACAAAGTTTAGTTTATTTATTTTGTTCGAGTTATGATTTTTTTTTTCTCTTAGGATTGTTTTAGAATGTTTGTTTGTAATTCAATCTTATTATTTAATTAGAATTATTGTTAGTTGTCCTAATTTTGGTAGATCTACTCTTATTTGCTTAATTGAAGAGGTAAAAGAGTAAGACGTTCCTTGTATACCCTTAGAATACGTGAGGTATTGGGAGAAATGAGAAACTTAATAAATTAATTAACGCTTGTTTGATTAGATCATACTTGTTTATAAATAATCTCAAGACATAAAAGAATAATATTCCACATGTATACACTTGGAACATATGAAGTGTAAATACAATTTCACTCGTATGTGCTTAGAACGAGTGAGAGATTTAACAAATTAACTATTTAATAAATTCAAAATTTATTTAAAAATTAAATGAATGAAAGAGTTATCAAAATCGATTTAAATTTGTGAGTCAATCTAGTCCACCAAGGGTTCGAGTCGAATTGGGTTAAAGTATAAGTCAAAAATATACTCGGCGCACTAAGAACCAAACCCATGTTTTGACAACTCTATTGTATATATTGCAACCACTAGTGCATATATAAGAACTTTTGAACTGGTTATTTTAGAGATTATGTTTCGGTTCTTTAATCGAAGTATATTCAGACGAAGTAAAAAATATTTAACTTTAGCATTCGTTTCATAATCGAAGCATATTCTTTACTTTATGATTTAGTTTTTTTAATAAGAACCAAAGCCTATTCCTATAGTTTTTGTTAAAAAAATTCAATTTCTTTCCATCCTCACGTAATTTTCACCCTAGAACTACCATGCTCCCTATCAACGAACACAACGAACAGAGCCACCACTACCTTTCCCACTTCCACATTGAACAAAAGAGATTAAAAAAATATTTGCATTAGAAAAAACAAATTATGAAACAGAAAAGAAAATGCAAGACGAAATAATGAACCTCTAATCACTTTCGAAATAGAAAGAAAAAAAATGTTCGTAGTAACAACTTGACGACACACTTCGCGTTGGCTACGAGGAAGGGAAGGAAAAAGAGTGGAGGAGTGATGACGAAAGTAACAACGTGGTTCACGTTTGACAACGAAAAAGGGAGTAAAGCGGCTCTTTCAGTGGAGAATTGATGCGGTGCAAACGAAAAAACTTTGGTACAAATGTAATTTTAATCCTAACAGATGAATAGGTTTCGATTCTTTAAAGAACCTAATAATTTAATTGTGTAAATATTTACAAAAATGTCAGTAATAAAAATTTTGAAATTAGTTGGAAAATTATAAGCCTCAATTCTTTAAAAAACTAAATCATATACGAGTATGGGCTTTAATTATTTTAGAATTTGTAAAAAAAATTTAAAAATGTCATCAGGTTTTGAAATACTTTGTTTTAAGAATATTAAACAATTTCAAAAGACTTTCTTTTTAGTAGTGAATCCCTAATCATGTTTTCTATGTTTTTAACCTTAGTGCATATTTTTATAAGTGTTAACTTAGTGAAATTCCAATTAAGTTCATTGGAGAGGTTGAAAGAAGAGATTAAATCATAGAAACCACAATGATCATATGTGTAGAATGAACTAGATATTATTGGGTCTGTTGGGCCAATGAGGTGTTATTAGAAAAAGTAAAACAACTGAAAGCCACACCCTTTGTTGGTATTCGTTCTCAACCAGGTTAGGAAGAGGAAGGAAAATTAATGAAACAAAATATTATTCATTGTGTTAACAAAGTATGACCATAGAAGACTTTGTATGCCTAATCTTTCCATGTATGAGTGACTGCTATAAATTAAAGTATTGGTTTAGCCATGTGAGTGGAGAATTTACACTATTTTAAAGTTTAGTAGTGAAAAAAAGTCTTAACCTTTTTTCTCACCGAAGATAGGGATGGGACTAATGCATTTTGAGTGTGATTGAGGGAATGATTATGCCATGTATAAGTTTGAAGGCTTGTAGAGAGTCTTAGTTAATTAAAGTACCATACCCTTAGTATTAATATTTCTTAATATTGGTAAATAGCTTAACCCAAAGGGGATATAGTGATTTTCTTGCATAGGCATGACCAAAGGGGATCCTATCTAATCATACAGTGGAGAGGGCAATAGGGAAGGAGATGATGGAGACAAAGTCTTTACAAATGTTGTAAATACTCAGAAATCCAATACCTCTTTGACCTTTGTCCACAATCATTATCAACTACAAATGGAAGAAGGAAATAAGGATTGGGAAACCCTAGTGAACAATATCATTTACGTTATTAATTGTTTTTTCTTTCCACAAATTTGTTTTCTTAATTATAAATTACACATGTCTACATTATTATAATATAAATCCTTGAAATATTATAAAACCATTTAATAGATGACAGGGTGATAAAAAACTACCCCAACTCAGACTATTTAGCCTAACGGTTTATTTTATTTCTGCATATGAAAATTGATTGTGAGGAAAAAAAATAAGAGGATCATGGAAAAGCAAAGTTGTTGACTACTAATACTAAACAGAAGCAAAGGAAGTATCTTCAACTCCTAATGTTACAATAAACATTAGCTACAACTAACAATAAGTTGTTGCAATGTACAACCAGAGAGTCTTTAATGGGATTCACATTGTCTAAAACTGTCACACTCATTTTTGAAACTGAACCAGTTTTTAATATGTTGATATGCACAGTCTGAAGCGGTGGTAGTAACACCTTGAAAGCTAATGTTGCACATTAATGATTTAATTCAATATTTTGTATTTCCATCCTTTATTTCCATATATGTATCAAGAATAGACTAGATGAATATTGGATAGGAATATTGTGATATCAAATGTAGAAGTTTTAATCATGTTCATGGAGACACATAACAAGGAACAATGTAAATATCTTATGTATTAAGGTTGGAGCCTCCCAAGTGATCCAATATAAATAGCTATATATACTTTGCTGATAAAAAAAAGTACTAGAATATGGATAAAATTAGCTAACGCATATTCATTTAAATTTGCTTTTGAAGTGTGACAGTTTTAGGATATTGATAAAACTAGTCTAACTCTTCTGATACATGATATCACAAAAGTTGAGATTTTGCCAAGAAAAAAGTACATTTTATTGGCGATCATGTTTCTGCAGTTTTCCTAATACAAGCACCAAGTGCAATGAAATGAGTCCAGGTAGAAACATGTTATGTACAGTGAATAAAGCAGCAAATTTCTAATGGATGAAACACAGGTTTTCCATTGAAGCATGAAATGAGATCAAAGGATATTCTAAAATTCCTACTTTAGAACATAGAAGACCAAGGTTGAGTCCAGCCACCTCATAACTTGGGAGAAATTCTTGGGCGATCCCACTCTGTGATAACATGGTCACGACTTATCTCCTTGAGTGAACGGCAACCGGTTAGTGCCATAGTTAGTTCAAACTCATCACGAAGCATTTGAAGTACTTTTCTCACACCAGCCTCTCCATCAGCAGCCAATGAAAACAACACAGGTCTACCAATCTGAAATTTGAGATGTAAGGCAAAGATTTAAATAGCAGGAAGGAATGTGGGGTAAGCTGCACTATTTTATATCATCAGCCTCTAATGAAATTAATGAAATAGAAAAGCATATTCCACAAGTTTCTTTGACATTTATATGTAAAATCCATATTCTGAGGAAATTACGAGGATCAGTATCTTGTGCTTCTTTGTGGAGCTTAGGAACAACAACACTATGATCCTTGTATGCTTGAGTAACGCAAAAAGTATACATATAGTATAGTTAAGCATTTAACAGTTTAATTTGCTATGATGATGATCAAAATTTCGTGTACTTACAAACACACCAGCTGCTCCAAGAGCTAGTGCTTTAAAAACATCTGTTCCTCGGCGAACTCCACCATCCAGAAAAACTGGAATTCTTCCTTCTGCAGCTTTAACTACCTATTCAAGTCAAAGCAGCCAATATTTTCACTATGTTAAAGTAAAAGAGGAAATTAATCAATAGGGCACAAAAGTACAAAAGAAACAAAAATGAAAATGCAATGATGACGAAAATTTAAACAAAAATTGAGCAAGACTTTTAGTTTACACAACCGAGAATGCTAACACTAGAAGTGGTACCTTTCTATTTCAGTTGTTGTGGAATAGCTATAAACAAACGACAAAGCAGAGAATCCCACAAAAAAAACAGGTACAAGGTTAAAAGTAAGAAAAACAAGACCAACTTCAATTTACGTCCACGACAGAGTTCACTATAAACAGGCTACAACTCAGTTTCTGTTAGGTTTCTTAGGAACAAGAAACCAGATTTTCAGATTTAGTAAAGAAATAAGCACTCAAATCTTACTGCACAATGTATTTAACACTCTAATTCTGAAAAACATAATACAAGAAAACATCCAAGAGAAGAAATTCCCTTCTACACAGGACAAACCCTGTTCTGAAACAAAATACACTCCACCCACAGAACTAGAACGCCCCCCTCCTTAAAAGACAAAAACTGCCTAACTACTAATTAAAACTTCCCCTAACTGCTGTTTAAACTCCTCCTAACTACCCCTAACCACTTCATACTAACTTCTATGTTTTATTTTTTCCAAACTATCTAACAATTGTCTACAAACTGTCAAATACATTACATATCCTATCAGTTTCTCTCTCAGTGAACTCTTGCTTAACTCTCTCGGTTTTTTGTTATTAAATTAACAAGGTACTTTAGTAAAACACGCCTAAACTAGCATAAAAGACAAGTGAACAGTGCTTCCTACTACTAAGCTAAAATGTCACTAATATGGCGCATCCAAACCATACTAATCTCCATAGACGCTAATCGATTAGATGTTCTACGAAGACTATCCACATTGGTACTAGAAGATACAGATCTTCCCTTGGACGGTTTGGAGTAGTTAGACAATGTAGGAGCCTTAACAAAAATTTTATTGAACCAATCTTAACAACACTCCACATTGGTTCAACACAAGTCTTCTAAGCGAGAAACACTACTTGTCACCAACACATCACAAACTTAATCACCAATTAGCTGGATCAAATCCAAGATATGGAAGAAACTGTTGCCTGATAGAACCTTTTTGCAATCATATAAGAGGGATGATGTTACGTATCTGAGTCGAAACATAATTAATCACGATCACAGTAGGTAGAAAAGACAATGACTGAATGATAATGGACGAATGAATCTCTTTTATTGATGATAATATCGGAATAAACAAAAGTAAACAATAATTGGAAGCATAACCTCCTTCTTACTTGGGAGCATAACCTCCCTCACAGGACACATAGCCGCCTGTCTACAAACTCAATAATCAAAAGCATAACCCTAACAATAGCCTTTAGCTTTATTTATACTAATTATTTCCCGCTCATCTCATAGTAAATATTTCCTATAATATATCTGCATTTAATATAAATATCCCTATATTTAATATAAATATCCCCCGTATATTCTTCTGACATATATCCTTAAATATAGATATTTTATATTAAATATTTCCCTAGAATATATATTTATTTACTCTAATTAACTTATACAGGATTTTCTGCTCGAATGTGGCTCCCTTTTACTATAATTAGTTCCCGCCCATCCTAACCGCTGCGACAGTTAGGATGGTAATTCTTCAACCGTTCGGCTTAGGTCCTTCACTACTTCCTACCGCTCAGCTCGAGCTCTCACTATCTTCCGTCGTTTAGCTCGACTCCCCACAGCGTACCACCTTTCAGCTTGACCTTTCTCTGCTTCCCTCCTTTCGGCCTGGTCGCTCCCCATTGTTCACCGTTCGGCCTGCTCGCTCCCCGTTGTCCACCTTTCGGCCTGATCGCTCCCCGTTGTCCCCCGTCCGACCTGATCGTTCCCTGCCTTCCACCGTTCGGCCTGGTCGTTCCCCGTCTTCCACCGTTCGGTGCCCTTCTCCTTCTCTCATATACCTTGTACCCTAACAGATGATGATCTATTGAGACCATCATAACCTTTGAAGATCGTTGGGAAATCTCCTCTCTTACGAAATGCAACTTGATGAAAATATCTTTTTTTCTTCCATGGTAGACTTGATTCTTAGATAATTGTATAACATTGTTGTTGTCACAGTAAATAGTGACAACTTGGTCTCGCATCTTCAGCTCTCTGGCTAGACCCCATATTCATAAGCCTTCCTTCACTACTTCTGTCATTGCAATATATTCTGCTTCAATGGCTGACAAAACCACTACCTTCTGTAGACTGACATTTTAGATAATTGTAGTACCATATGAAGTAAACACATAACCTTGAATGTCCTGACCAGGTTGGCGACAATAGTAGTAGTTTTAGCCCAAAACATCTTTGGAACTCCAACACTCAGTAGCATGCAGATCACCTACTCCAGAACAGTCCTATAATCTCTCAGCTAAGCCATTCTATTGAGGTGAACCAACTACCTTCCAACGCCTTGCTATGCCATTATCCTTACATAATGTGGTAGAAAGTTTTAAGCAAAATTCAAGACCATTATCAATTCTAAACCTTTCCACTGTCTTACCAGTTTGGTTAACTACTGGACACTTCGAACTCTTGAAATTTTCAAAGGCTTTATCCTTGGTGTTCTAAAGGTAAACCCATAACTTCCTCGAGTAATCATCTATTGACAAGAGTGTGATGGAGATGAGGATGATCCCTACATGTCAACATGACATAATCAAGAGTTTCCTTCGTTCTATGTTTTCGTATACTAAACCAAATTTTTTCAAGCTTTACATCAGACACATGGTTCACAAAATTTTAGTTATGCAATCTTGTCACTACCAAACAAGCCTTGCTTCTTCAAATCAAATAAGACTTTCTCACTTACATGATCTAACTTTCTCTGTCATATCCCAATCAAACAATAGTCTTAGCATTTGTTGGAAGTTTCACATCGACTAGAGATAAGGCCAATTTAGAGTATATAAGTGGGTGCAAATCTCACCTTACAAGCCGGTTTTCTGTTAGGCTTATAGTCCACTTCTTAGTATGATATCAGAGTCATGGTTAGAGTCTATCCTAATAGGATTTTTTGTTTATTAGGCATATTATTGCACCCCTATCGGGCCACTATCAGACCACCCATTAATGTCTAGTTTCACGCTCAAGATGTATATGTCTCGGTGTGAGGAGAGTATGTTGGAAGTCCCACATCGACTAGAAATAAGACCAATTTAAAGTATATAAGTAAGTGCAAACTTTACCTTATAAGCTCGGTTTTATGGGATTGAGTTAGGCTTAAAGTCAACTTCTTAACAACATTAAATGTTGAGTCAGGTACTATAACACCTTCCAAGGCATACAAGTCATTCTTTCTCACACCCTTCATCACTACCATAGATCCCTTCATCAACTTCAACATTTGCTCACCTTTAAACACATATCACATGTATTACTTGAGAATTAAACTGTAAAATAATTCTAGAGGGCTTGATTGATCCCTCTCACAATCTTCTATTTATAAGAATAAATTGATACTCCCCCTCAAGCTGGAGCATACAAATTGTATGTACCAAGCTTGGAACAAATAAACTCAATCTGAGGACCCCTTAATGACTTGGTCAATACATCTGCTAGTTGATCGTTTGACCCAATAAACTCAGTACATATTTCTTTTGTCAACAACTTTTCACGAACAAAATGACAATCAATTTCTATATGTTTAGTCCTCTCGTGAAACACTGGATTTGATGCAATGTGGAGTGCAGCTTGATTGTCGCAATACATCTTCATAGTATGGATGTCACAAAATTTAACCTCTTGAAGGAATTGTTTCACCCATATAAGTTCACATGTTAGTGATGCCATTGCCCTATACTTGGCTTCCGCGGTTGATCGAGCTACTACTACATTCTGTTTCTTACTTTTCCATGAAATAACGTTTCCTCCCAGAAAAACACAATATCCTGTAGTAGACCGTCTATCAATAGGTGAACCTGCCCAATCTGCATCATAATACCCAGAGACCTGAATGCTTCCTTTATCTTCATATAACAATCCTTGCCCGGGAGCCTTCTTTACATACCTTAGAATGCGAATGAGAGCATTTCATAACCCTTGCATTTCATAACCCTTGCATTCCATACTCATCTTGTGTGAGATAACACGTGCTATAGACGGTTAACTAGAGACGGTCAAATAGAAGCATTCAAGCTTTGTCCATAGTTTTGTTGCAATCTTCTCTTTCGAGACTTGCCTCAACACCTTCTCACTAAGGCTAAGAATAGTTGCGTTGCTAGCCTTCTCAAATAGTGTTTTCTTGGCCTTCTCCGCTATGGCTACACCAAGCCTAGATTTACCTTCTAGAGATTGATGGAGGCCTTGTTGAACCAAAAGAGCACACATATTCAACCATAACAATAAAAAATCATTCAAACCAATGAATTTCTCAACCCCATACTTTGCAAAAGTCATGATGATTGAATTCATGTTCATCACTCGATTTATCGTGGAATAACTCTAAACAAACTCATTGTAAACGCTTCTACCACACAAACAATAAATGAAAATACAGAGAATCCGCAAATGAGACAAGTAGAAGGTAAACATAAGAAGATAAAAAAAATCACACACAGAAGTAACATGGTTCAATTAACGTCTTAACAAAATTCAATTCTTGTCCATGACTCTCAGTTAACAATAAATGTTGATACATGTTCTTATTTATACAACATAATTGTTGTAACAATAACCATCGACATATGTTCCTATTTATACAACATAAATATTGTAACTAACTTCCACAAAACATGTTTAAACTAGCGGAGCAGACATGTGAACAATACTTCCTACTACCCAGCTAAAACGTCATTGAGGATGTCTATCTAGACAGTACTAATCTCCTTACACACTAAGAGACTAGACGTTTTACTATGACTATCCATACTAATACTAGAAGATACATATCTTCTACTAGGAAGTCTGGAATAGTTAAACGATGTGAGAGCCT